CCAGCGGGACATGCAGAACAGCCTAACTGTTTCCAGAGCCGCACTTACACATGTGACATTCTGTGATTCGCCACGGGGGATGTTTCGTTTTATTCTCATGCTGCAGATAGACAGCCTAACCTTTTCCTTTTGGAAGGAGGGCTGTGCTATTTATTTGACCTAACTGGCAATAATTGCTAAAACATCTATTTTATGGCTAATTTTGCTTTCTGATTGGAGGGGGCCACAGGATCTGAATGGCAGTGTCATGAATATGGGACAAAAAATATACACAGTCAGAAACGTAGAATAATTAAGATTTTTAATGTTTTTGAAAGAAATTTATACTCACCAAGGCCGGATTTATTTGATCAAAAATACAGTAAAAACAGTAATATTGTGAAATGTTATTACAATTTAAAAGAACTGTTATCTATGTGGATATATTTTAAAATGTAATTTATTCCTGTGATCAAGAGCTGAATTTTCAGCACCATTACTCCAGTCTTCAGTGTCACATGACCCATCAGAAATCATTCAAATGTAATGCTCAATTCCTACTAATAATACAGTTGTTGTTTTTTGTTTTTGTTTTTGTTTTAATTTTCAGGATTCTTTGAATAGAAAAAAAAATGTATTCATTTATTTGAAACAGAAATCTTTTGTAACATTATAAATGTCTGACTGGGTTAACGGCTGTTCAAAAAATCAGCTTTCTCATCACAGGAATAAATGACATTTTAAAATATATTCAAATAGAAAACAGTTCTTTTAAATTGTAATAATATTTCACAATATTAATGTTTTTACTGTATTTTTCATCAAATAAATGCAGCCTTGGTGAACAGAGGCTTCTTTCAAAAACATTTAAAAAAATCTTAATTATTCCAAACTTGATTGGCAATGTATATTTTTGTTCTGAGCAAAATATATGCTAAATATAATGTGCCAATGGAAAATATATTTCATTTAAACCTTCAAATGCCAAATGTATTACAAAATACATTTCCAAACTTAAAATACATTATGTATTTTTTAAATAGATTTTGTACAAAATATACAGGAAATGTATGTAATTAAACATGCAAATATTCTAAATTTATATGAACCTATTTAAATATCTTTTAAAATATATCAGAAAATATGCTTTTGTCGTATGGGTTATCATGACATTAATCGTTCACGCTCGATTGTTTCTTTACTGTTTTGGAAAGTGATACTCTGGCTATTATTTTTTGGGTTGAGATGCAGGAAGTGACCCTCTTTGCCCTGCACTGTATTTTTAGTCTCAAAACATTAGTGTGTGATGCTTGAGCAAGCCTGGGTTCCTGGCCCATCTGTGCACCGCGTGGCTGTGTTTTCGGGAGTGTCTGGGTGTGTTTGCGTGTGAGTGTTTGTAGAAGGTGGGCGTTTGACAGAACATGATCGGGGTCTCTCCCCTGTTAGTGCGGAGGAAACTGGAATGAAAGCTTCTGGAATCAGCAGGGAGCATTATGTCATTCTGTGGGCGGACTTTTTCATGGCCAATAAAACGCTGGTCCTCCAGAGAGGACACATCTGAAGGCAGCACATTCAGGAACAGGATATTGGGGTTGTGTGGTGAATCCACTAAAGAGTGCTGCCACTTTTGCAAGAAGCATTTCAGTGCAAAAAATGTTGAATTAACTAATCACTTGCAATACAACGTAACATGTGCCGAAATAAAGTGAATTTAAAGTCATTATTTTTCCAAGCAAATGCACCTCTTTCCATGTGTGAATTGCATTCACTGCTATATCTGTGGGCATTGTTGCATATGAATAGAGTAGGGCCTCAACTTTCTTTTCTTTTCACTGAGTAATTGAGTAAAAAAAAGGGCAAATTTTATCTTCTGTTTATCCACATTTCACATTATTCCACATTGTGTAACTGTGGAATTCCTCCAAATTGTGTGCAAATAGAAGGCTCTGAAAACAAAGATAGTAAATGTATTAGTGTGGGCTATGCTTTACAATATTACATCATAGTAACACTTTAATATCTTTTGTTTATACGGTGAATGTATTTTTTAATTATAGTTGTTCCCTGAACTTTTTTTGTCTTGTCCAGATGTAAAATATTTACTTGAAGTACCCTCTGAGTTTTAAGTTAATATCGAATAATTTTATGGCACATTCATATGTTCACAGGTTCACTAATGTTGTTTAATTGTCACATGATATGTAAGTAAACAGATAAAATATTTAAACTTTTTTAGTATTTAATATTTAGGTTCAAAATGTAAGTAATTTATTTTGACTGCATGTCTATAGGGCTTATTATTATTGTTGTTGTTGTGGGCGTTGTTGCTTTAACTGTAATGATAAAAATGAAGATATGAATATTTGATCACTATAGTTCTAATAATGATTTTACACAGCAAGTTACAATACATTCTTAAATTCGAAACTTTCAAACATTTAAATATTTAAACTTTTTTTATTTATTTTATTTGTGGAATACTGGTGAAATTGTCATGTTTTGTTTGTGGATTTGTGTTCTGTGACTTTTGTTTTTTTTTAAGTTAATTTTGCTCTTTAGTATACATTTTCTCATTTCTCTTTGTTTAGTTTAAACATGTTTAAACACGTAGCATAACCGATTTTATACTCATACTAATTAAACATATTAAATCACAGCCTTTGTTTTGATAACTGCACTAGGCTGTCTAATGATTTATGTTTTATTTTTATTAATTGTGCAGCCACTTTTACTTATTTTAATTTGACATTTGATTTAATTATTAGCGTTTCATCAACTCACAAACACCCATTTGGGAAACACTGTGTAAAACAAATCAGGATACAACTGTAATATCAACCAAAACATGAAAATAATTATTAGCTCTTTGGCATAACCAGATTTTTAATATTGTTAAATACTGTACTGTAATACATACTGCTCTTAATGTAAATAGTTATGTCTTTTTGTTCCATCTTGTCTTTTAAGTGCTCTTTTAATAACCCAAGGAAGTGTTTCCTGTGTGCGTGTCAGTACGTGAATTGAGTCAGATACATCAGTCCCTTTGGCCAGGAAAGAAAGAACGCGACAAGGAGAGTGTGTGCAACAGGACACATTTATTTGATTAGCTTGAGATCTGCTTTGTCATGAAAGAGCATATGTGAGCCAGACAAGGCCTCGACCCAGGCCTCAGAATCACGTAGCTCTCCCGCTGCCAAATTTAAAAAGTCTTAGCACAGATAAATCCAACACATTGCTGGTGTTGGATGACTAAATCTTACAGCTCAATACATTTAATCAGATTTTGGCACTGTCAAGTGACACATGATCAAACATGAAGGGGAAAGACAGCATCGTTTAACAGGCTTTGACCTTGTCTGCAATGTAAGCATGGAGCTCGTCACTTTAAAGACCCAAAACGTGTTCCCCACTTTCTTCTTACATCTCCACGGATACCAAGACTTTGCATCACAAACAATTGGGCGTGATGATAACATTTTGATGATGTCAAGTCATCCAGCTATGTTAGTTTGGCAAGGTTTTCCAAAATGAAAACATGAAAGGTCATGCATGCTTTTTGGAACTTTGCAACACAGAAAGCACAAAGCTGCTGACAGCAGTTCTTTAGTATTGTCTTCATGTGCGCAATTTTTGTAAATTGGATGGAGAAAGTTCTGCTTTGTGTGGGCTATAGTTTTTTTTTTTCTTCACACTTTACCCGTGCATGCATGCATAAAGGATGTCCTGTCTTGTATGAACGAACGTGCATTATTTTTATATTTGAATCATTTAGCAGAAGCTCAATTGTGACTTGCAGGAAGTGCTCTACACATGTGAATAAGATGAATAAAAAACGTTTTCCCTCATTTCCCCATGTCTTTATAATCTAGAGCCTAAACAGAATCATGTATTATCTATGTTGCTTTCTGCATTGAAAAGACTGTGTGTCACGAAATAATGGCAAGAAATGTGTTGGAGTTGTCTTCACAGGCTGCACACAAAAGCAACATACAATGTAGCCGATTCACAAACAAATGACTATTCTTGGCTAGTACTTTGTAGTGATTAAAAAATATACCGTGCGACCAGTGTAGTTTGATTCACAAACAATGACTCATCTTAGCTAGTTCTTTTCAGTAAATCAGAAACAGCGTGACCAGTATAATTTGATTCACAACAAATGCAAAAACATACAGCGTGACCAGTGCAGTCCGATTTCCAAAACAAATGATTCTTGTGAGCCAGTTCTTTTAATAAGCAGTCAACACACTCTCATGGCAATTTGTAACTACTTTACATTTTGGCAAATTGGTGGTGAATTAATTTTGTATGAAGTTGTACAATCTAATTTGTATTTTTATATGGCCTGCTTAGGCTCCACTGAGGGTTAGGTTTAGCGGTGGACCTTCTTGCGTACTTTTGTTTTTTTTCTAAAAATCATACATTTTTGAATGAATCAAATCATAAAATAGTTACATTTGTTCATGGGATTGTAAATAGTTACCAGTTTAAATCATTCTGAAAAACTGCCCTGTATAAAAGTTGACTAAAATAACATTTTATTTTGTCATTTAATTATTATTTTTTTAACTTGACGTACTAAAATAACTAAAGCTAAAACTGAAATAAAAGTGAATACAACTATATAGACATAAAAACCTAGAACTAAAAATAACAAAATCACAACCAAATGACTTCAGAGAAAATTTTAAATGAAAAAGGAAACTAAGAAAACTAAATTAAACTATATTAAGAATATTAATAAAAAGGGAAATGGAAAGTCTGTGTGGTTATTTACTTATCTATATTAATATTCATTATAAATATTTAACAATTAATAAACAGCTGAGTAATTGCATTAAATTGTAGGCTAATGTTCCATTCATGCTAGTAAATACTAGCATTTATATTATCTGCTCATTGGAAACGTTTTTTTTTTATTGGACAAACTGACCCTTAGTCTTATTTATAAGATAAAGTGAGATGCATATTGTACGTATGTGATACTTATGTTGTCTTTTTTATTGTATGTTTCTTGATAGCTCTGCTGCCATGGTTGTCATGTTTCAATGTAGACGAGAAGAACCAGATGTCATTCAGTGGACCAGTGGAGGACATGTTCGGGTACACCGTCCAACAATTTGAGAACAGTGAGGGAAAGTGGTATGTTTTTACATTATATCTATAAATGCTTAGTTTTACTAAACAGGGCAAATTAGCGTGAGAGCACAATTCCAAAACAGCGCCGATGGGCATGGAAATTTCTGCGGGTGATTCACTGACAATGCTCAAATTAAAGAACACAGACACAACATCTCATTTACATAGCGACCAACGCAATCTACCAAGCGCAACGCAAATTAGCGCAGTCGCAAATAAAGAATAAAGAAGCCACAGCATGTTGAAAAGAACCCGAGGCCAAAAAATGAAGGGTTGCACAAAGTTTTGATAGACCTGGTTAGAGTTGCCAAGAGGTGGAAAATTGCCGGTAAATTTCCGGAAACTTTCCAAAAATTCCTGGAAGATTCCAAAAAATACTGGAAAGTTTCCAAAATTTCTGGAATGTTTCTGAAATTTACGGGAAATTTTCCACCTTTTTGCAACCATAGACCTGGTATTGCGTAACTCCTGGTTGAGGGTTCCAAGCCGTCTTTTATTTCCTGAAGCAAATTAAAAATAACATGGCTTGGCAAACGATATGTTCGGATAATGTGTTCTTCTGGCATTCCAAATAAATTAATACGTGTGGAAAAAAATCCTCTCCCTTCTACCATGCACTCTCTGTTCTCTGCGGTGCCTCCTCCTAGCAACAACAAATGCAGCCATTTCAAGCGCAAAATAGTTTAAGTATAAAATAATGGCGCTATTACCAATAATTTGACGAGCGCAAACCTTAGTAAAACACGTTGAGTGTTTCATTTGAATACTCTCCTATAATACTCTCCTATAAATTGTCTGAAAGGGAAACTCCTACAAATGCATATTCAATAAGGTCAGGTGCAAAAATAACTGTCAACACCTTCTCAGCACTAATTCTTCACTGCTGGTCTTTAGTAAAACCTGACAGTACAATTTTAACGCGAAAAGACGGTTTGTGCTGGCGCAAGCTGTTAGTAAAACTGACCATAGGTGTGCTATTTATTTTAGTATTTACTGTAAATTATTAGAACATTTAGATTTGAAAGTTTAAAAATCTCCACTTGATGTATGTGATTGGAATGTTCGCCATTCGAAATCGAACCGACATAATGTCATTGTAATATTTGCATACTGAATTCTGATTGGCCATTGCTTTTTGCCTCTATTTACCATTTTGTACAACCAAAACAATTCACATGCTTGAGTGTCATGACACTATAGCAAGCGGTTTTGATGCACTAATTTACTACATAATAAACTATATATTCATTGTATATTGAAGAATTGTCATTGTAAACCTATGAGCACCACTGATGTAGTCTGCTTTTGTAATGGCTCGTTTTTTCCCCCAATAAAGTCATCAAGCTAATGTACTAAGGCCTGCTAACTCCATTACGAATATAAATAAATGGGAACTAATTCCCTACTGTATGAAACAGTTCCCCTCAGCGAAACCTCAGTGAATTCAGACATCTGTAGTCTCTTAAAAATGGGTCCAGCAGCACGTTTTAGCACCACTTGTAATGGTTAACCCTCTACAGTACTTCCAGAGGAACACCTCAGCTGGTGTGAAACCCCCAAAGCCTCTCACAGGTGGCCTTGACTGACTTGTAAACCTTGCCAATGACCTGTTCAGGGTAGTTAGATGATTTGACAGACGTGATTGGGATGGATTTTAAAGAGTACATTAGGGGTTTTTGAGGATCACAAATAACAGCGAAGCAGCAAAAATTGTTTAATGAAAAGCTTTTAAAAAAACATTCATACAGTACTTTCTTTGAAGAACCAAAGAAAGCCTTTTTAATCACATTTCTACAAGAAGTCAGTGTTATTTTGTTTATATTGTTTTTAAGATGGCTTTAGATTTGAAGTATCTTTTATTCAAAAGGTTTTCATTAACTAAAAATGAGAGGAAATGGACTTCTCATGTCACCTCAAACCTCAGTGATTGGATTTCTTCCCCTTTTTTTGTCCAAAAAATATATTTTGCAGAATATTGTTTCTGCTCTTTTCCATACAATGAATGTGAATGGAGGCGGAAGGTGTTGAGAATCAAAAATGACATAAAGCATCATAAAATTATCCTAGAAGTTGTTTAAGACATTGGTGACTTTGTGTAAAGTGCCCAATGTTTCTCGAATGTCTTGTAGCTGCATTTATTGATGTGACTTTATGCATTATATTTCAATGTATATGACCACAAATGAGATTTTAAAATTACGGTGGAGGAGAATGTGCATGGGTTAAATTACAGCTTGTTTCTCACACAAAGTTCTCATTTGACTTCCGAAGACTTATGTGGATAAAGTTCATGCTGCTTTTTGGTGCCATTTTGGTATTATTTGTACTTAACAACCTCCATCCCCATTCACTTTCATTATATGGAAAAGAGCAGCCAGGACATTATGCAGTATTTCTCATTTTGTGTTCCACAGACGCAAACAAGGTTTGAAATGACATGAAGTTTATTCAAATGTTTGTATTGTTTGTGAATTATCAGTCAGTCAAGGCTAAAATATATAGAAGGTGACTGGTGTTCAAAGAAGGGAAGACTGCATGGACTCCCGCTTGTATCCACTGCTGTGTCAAGGCCCATTTGTGCACAGGAATGTTAATGACTTGAGTTGTTTACATGCTTACACAAGAATGTCTACTTTTAGCACTGTTGTCAAAAACCGCCATTAGAAACCTGAGGAACATGGTGAATGTTCTTTATTCAGCTAAGTGCACTCAGATGTAACAGAACATAATGAAGCATAAACAACCTTTCATGTTATCTCACTGTAAAGCGCATAAATCATAGTGGGCTTCAAGGGTAAAACATCACATATCCGTCAACATCGTATTCAAACTCTCTAACAGTTATTGTTCCGAAAAAAGAAACTCTTTTCTCCTCGTCGTTCTGACATTTCACATATGTTCCATTTTACTGTAATATTTAAAAATAAGCATGTGCATATTTATGTTATGCTTTTCTTTCCCACTGGAAAACTGGCGAATCAATCAACTGCACTTTGGCTCAGCATGCTTCCACTTTCTCACAAAGCCCAAGGGTTTTTTTGCGGTCAGGGATAAATGAGCCCACTCTCTACTTCCTGCTTTTTTCTGCAGGGTTCTGATTGGTTCTCCTCTGACTGGACAGCCAGCTAAACGGACCGGAGACGTCTACAGGTGCCCCGTTGGACAAAACAAAAACACTGGATGTGAAAACGAATGTTCTTTATTCAGCTAAGTGCACTCAGATGTAACACAGAACATAATGAAGCATAAACAACCTTTCATGTTATCTCACTGTAAAGCGCATAAATCATAGTGGGCTTCAAGGGTAAAACATCACATATCCGTCAACATCGTATTCAAACTCTCTAACAGTTATTGTTCCGAAAAAAGAAACTCTTTTCTCCTCGTCGTTCTGACATTTCACATATGTTCCATTTTACTGTAATATTTAAAAATAAGCATGTGCATATTTATGTTATGCTTTTCTTTCCCACTGGAAAACTGGCGAATCAATCAACTGCACTTTGGCTCAGCATGCTTCCACTTTCTCACAAAGCCCAAGGGTTTTTTTGCGGTCAGGGATAAATGAGCCCACTCTCTACTTCCTGCTTTTTTCTGCAGGGTTCTGATTGGTTCTCCTCTGACTGGACAGCCAGCTAAACGGACCGGAGACGTCTACAGGTGCCCCGTTGGACAAAACAAAAACACTGGATGTGAAAAATTCCTTTTGCCAGGTGAGAGGTGGCCTTCCTAAAAGCATTTGTGTGTTCGGTTAGTGCCATCATGTTTTCCACAAGCTATTTTTGTTCATTGCTGTGAATCATTAGTCTGTATTTACTGTGTGTTTTTACTCTGTGGGTGTGGTTATACCAGAAAACTTGTTATAGGAAGGGTAACAGACATTACCTCAGTTGGCGAGAAATGGACATACTTCCTCAGTTGGTACTAGTTTGACTGTCCCAAACACTGCTGCGTGACTCAAGGGTACAAGCAGATTTCGGCTGATAAACATGCACTAACATGGCACTTTGACTTGGCATGCAAACTCCTCCAGATTTGAGAATGAAGTTCTCAAATCATCTTTCCAAAATAAAACCTCCAGAGAAGGGAAATGGTACACCCTTCCTCAGTCTTAAAGTCAAAACAATTACTGATTCATCATTACAACTTTTCGACAAAAAGAAATACCTTAAATTTAGTCATTATCAACAGTCTGTTTCCATTTTCAATCATTTTATTCTGCAAGGATGCATTCAGTTTACAGTAAAAGTGACAGTTATGTTACAAAAAAATCCATTTCGAATAAATGCTGTTTTTGTAACTATTGAACAAAGAATCCTGAAAAAATTATCACAATTTACACAAACAATGTTAAGCAGCACAACTGTTTTCAACATTGATAATAATAAGTGTTTCTTGATCAGCAAATCAGCATATTAGAATGATTTCTGAAGGATCATGTGACGCTGAAGACTGCAGTAATGATGCTGAAAACTCAGCTTTGATCACAGGAATAAATTACATTTTAAAATGTATTAAAATAGAAAACAGTTATTGTAAATTGTAAAAATATTTTACAATATTGCTGTTTTTACTGTATTTTTGTGAAAAAAAAATTCTACTGATCCCAAACTTTTCAATTGTGGTGTACTGTATGCCACATAGCAAAACTACAATGCATTGCAAGATAGATCTCATGTTTACAGTTTAGATATGTTGCTTCGTCCTTATTAGTCAAAGTTATTATCAGTCACCAAATGCGGATGTGCATCAGCGGAAAGTTCCATCCTTCTAATTCAGGAGCAAGTATGATCATTTAATTTAGGAAGCCTTGTGTGAATGCTAATGTCTTGACACTTAACAGCACCTGGATGTGTAAAACATGCACAGAGAAAACCCCACAGCTGAAACATCCGTGTACGCTTTCTAGAGGTGTTACTGTGAGAATACAAGAGGAGCTAAAGCAGATTGTGGCCTGAGAGCTCATCAGCCAGAGAGACTTTGACCTTGACTCATGGGTCATTTACATTTATTACATTTGTTTAGCAGATACTTTTATCTGAAGCCTCGTACAAATGAGGAATTATATACAATTCAAGCGATTCAATGCAAGTAAAAAGAACAAGCTAGTACAGAGGCTCTTACTGTTTTTGAGCTAGTAATTAACAGAAATCAGCCTGTGTTTTTTGCATTACCCCCATTTATCTGTTGATATTTGGAATGGTTGGTTCATTGGTTCATGATGTAATGTTTTGTTTGTTAGTCTCATTAGCCTGTAGCGCTAAATCTGTTTTTATGTTAACCTCTGCCTGAATGTCTGACTCTCAGAGGAGGTCTAGACAGGAAGTGATCCAAAAATATTTTAATGTGTAATCTACACCTAATTACATAATCCTTCGCCAGATAACTCAATGTTGCATGTCGTCTCTCATTACTTCAGGGATCTGCCTCAAAATCAGACACTTCCAACAGGAATTCAGATGAATCTCTACCCTCAGTGTTTTCCCTTTTATAAGTCATCTTTTTAAATATGTCAGTGTACAATGTAGATTGTATGGGTTAACAATATTCTTTTTCGTACTAGTTTTCATGCCCATGGCTTTTTCGCATTGTGTGTTTGTGAAGCAGGAAGGGACAAAAAAGCTGCAAAACTGTGTTTTTTCTCCATTAAAACCCCACATAAATGACTCTAGCAATGTCTTTTGTTTTTAAAAAGGCAAGTAGAAAGACAATCTCAAGGGTCTGTGTATGAACAAAAGTATTCAATCCGCTTATGGGAAAATGCAGGGGAGTTTATTTTTTGTTTTCACTGTGAGTGCATATTTGTCTATTTTTCTTACAGAAAACACAACAATTCCGAACATAAATGAAGTGAAGGAAAACATGACTATGGGGACGACGCTGGTGGTTAACCCAGACGGCAGTGGCTTTCTGGTAGGGAACATCTGCGGATGTGATTGCACTGAGATCTTTATATGTCTTCTGTTACTTCAGCCCCTGTTAATTAATAGTGTCTGATCACAGACTTTTTAAATCATTACATTATGGAAACACTCGGTTTTCCAGTTAAAGTTTATAATTATAGAACAGCCATGACATGTTGGCACTATGTCTACGTTTGGTTATACTTTATGACTGAACAAATTGTCAGCAATCTGTGATTGCAGTTCATGTAAATGCAGCTTTTCCAGTACTCAAAAAATCCTAAAGAAATGTTTAATTTGGAGCTGGACTTAATGGGATCAAACAGGAATCCTCTATGAATCAAGTGTAATCCGAATGGACAAACTGACATTCTGAGCAAGGAAAAATGCAATGGAAAAGTAGGAATTTCAGTTTATCCAGTAGGATCTTAGTTGATCCCATTAGGACTGAGTCCAAGTTATTATAAAAATTGCTTTTTTATATTTGTTTGACAAGGTGTGTAACACAGAACTCAAGCAAGTGACAACTGGACATTTTCAGCACTTTTTATCACCTTTTTTAATTTCGCTAGTTCGCTAGTCGACTGGTCCTGCAGTGTGACACATGATGTTTTAATATACAAATATTCCATGTAACCAGTTTAATAGAAGGAGTTCAGCATGTCACCCCTAAACATTCCCATGTACTATTAAGCTTTTTGACACATTGTTTCCAACTGTTCCCATATGCAGCTCCAGCTCCCATATGCTGCAAAGGACTGAAACGGAAATAGTTCCACATAAACATTACAAATGAAATAATTAATTGTGGGAGGTCTCGACTCATTCCACAAGACTGGATATATGTGTATATACTATCATTCAAAAGTTCGGGTTCAGTATAATTTTCTAATGTTTTTGAATGTAGTCTCTTACGCTCACCAAGGCTGCATTTATTTGATGAAAAGTACTGTAAAAACAGTGATATTGCGAAATTTTATTCCAATTTAAAATAACTGGTTTATATTTGAATATATTTTAAAATGTAATTTATTCTTGTGAGGCGAATCTGAATTTTCATCGTCATTTTGAATAAATGTTGTTTTTTTAAAACTTTGTTTTCATCAATTTCAAAAGAATTTCAACATTGATAATAAATCAGCATATTAGAATGATTTCTGATGGATCACGTGACACTGAAGACTGGAGTAATGGTGCTGAAAATTCAGCTTTGAATCACAGGAATAAATTACATTTCAAAGTAAATTAAAATAGAAAAGCTTTATTTTAAATTGCAATAATATTTCACAATATTACTGTTTTTACTGTATTTTAGATCGAAGAAATGCAACCTTGATGAGCGTAAGAGAGACTTCTTTAAAAAAAAAAAAAGTGTACATGTGTTTCATTTCAGTTAAAGTTTTAGTTATTTATTTATTCGTTCCTTTTTATAGCAGTGTACATGTGTATGAATCTTTGCTGTCCAGCCAAATTACGAAAATATAAGTCAAAATAAAAAATGCTAGGCTTTTTTTCTGTGATGACCATAAAGTTTCATGTCATGTCAGCTACTCAGTGCTCCAATCCCTCTCTCTCGTTCCCTCTGGACAGGCCTGTGGTCCTCAGTATGGCTACATGTGTGGAAAACAGCAGTACATCACTGGGATCTGCTCGAACGTCAGCTCCTCCTTCAAAGTCCTCAACTCCATCGCTCCGACTGTACGAGGTACGACACACACGTGTTGTGAGTGTACATTAGCGCATTCCAGCCGAGTAAACCCCTGCGCCGCATGTCCATGTTAGGACAGTGTTTAGGAGAGCTGACATCTCCCAATGCAACACAGAACCAGTGACTCATCATAAACACACACATACATACTGTATGATGTTTCATAGCAACAACCAACACTGTCCGCCGCGTCACTTCATTTGAATTCTGCATCATTAAATGCACATTTGAATTCTCAGATTGATTCTAAATGGCAAATAGCGATGGTTAGCATTCAGATGCGCAGTCTAAGCCTTTATTTACCACGGTATAAACAGATGTACAAGCTATATTGAGTTTCTAATGAAAGGTCACATCTCTTTTCTTCCATATACAAAAAGTGACTGGAAAAACAGCATAAGCTGTGATTAACCACTGCTTTTTTATTATACATTTTTATATAAGTGCACACAGTTTCAGTCAGCTATGTCATGTAAACCTACTAGTTGGCTGTTGGCATTCAGCTTCCTTTCAGGAATTTAAAAGAAAGCAATGTGGTATTTATTTCTCTTTCTCGCTGTATAATTGTAAAGAAGGTGCTCATTAGGTTTATTTGCTTGTTTCAGAGTGCAAGCAGGATATGGACATTGTCATAGTGTTGGACGGTTCCAACAGCATCTACCCATGGAGTCCCATCACCGAGTTTCTGGTCAAATTTCTCCAGAGCATTGAAATCGGACCAGCCCGGGTGAGATTTGTGTAATTATAGTGCCCTGGAGAGCAACCATGTCGTTTGTCTTCAAACACTTTAGAAATGACATCAGGTTCAAATAAAATATCCACTTACTGCATCATTGGATGTTTAACACAAGCTGCTTTTTAAAAGGAATAGTTGGCTCAAAAATGAAGATTTTGTCACCATTTACTTCCCCTGTAGTGGTTCCAAATATCTATGACTGACTTAGCTGTTTTGAAACTCAAAAAAGATATTTTGAAGAATGTTTTGAACATTTGACCCCACTGATTTTCAATGTATGGACAAAAAAAACTATTACTGAAGCTTTTTTTGTCTTTCCGCAGGGCAAAATAAATGTATACAAGTTTGGAAAAGTATTATTTATGTACTATTATAGCATTTATTAATATTTTGAATCATATATTGTTTTTATATTTCCATGTAAATGTAAAAAAAATAATCCTATTTTTATTTATTAGTATTTTTATTTGTCATTTTTATTAGTTTTCTTTATATTTATATTTAGCATTAATTTATTTTTTATAAATTAGTTTTAGTTCAAGTGGTTGCAAGACTATTTTATTTTAGCTAGGTGCCAAAGCAGTATCTTATTTTCACTTAGTTTTATTCAATGTACTAAAATAAAAATAAATGAAAACTATATAGACATATAAAACAACCCAATAACTTTTTTAACTATTTAACAATTTTTGAAAAACTAATAGTGTCTGAATGATACTACAATAAAACTGATAATGAAATAATTTTCATTTTTGGGTGAAACAGCCCTTTAGTGGTTGGATTTAAAACAGTTTTGTGTACTTGTTAAAAACCATAGCGATTTGTTTTGTCAAAGTTGTGTGCAGTTAGTCGCACATAAGTGGATCTGTCATCGGCTTACACTAACATCATTACAACGAGTATTACATAAAGACTTTCCATGGAGAAGCTACTGGGTGGTTTGATTCTATGGAAATAAAGGCTTTCTTGAGCACACCGCTGGAAAATACAGCTCCAGAACGTTGAGCTGGGGGAAGACCACATATTCCATGGTTAAATAAATGTTTGCAGGGCTTTTTTGAGAGAATGACTTCACTTTTGAGTCAGCACAGACAGAGACGTTTAACAGAGAGAGAGACAACGGTGTGTCTGAGGGCCACCCAAACTTACTGCCTGAGCTTTATGCATGACTTTTTATTTGGGCTTTTGATTCTCCAGGTGGGCATCGTGTCTTACGGAGACGATGTCGGCCACGTCTTCAATCTCAGCCAGTTCAGTAACACAAAAGACCTTCTTAAGGAAGCTGCTGATATACCTCAAAGAACCGGCCACAAAACCATGACAGCTCTCGGCATTGATACAGCAAGGTATCACAATAAGATTCAAAGAGTAATTTTACATTTGAAAATCAGATTTAAATTTAAAACAGAAATGTTATGATAAAATGTATTCTGGATAACGTGATCTTCAAGCAAAAGGGGAAATAAGAAATTCTGAAATTAATGTAATTTTTTTTAATTCAAGTTGTTATGCTGATATTTTAATTTGTAATTAATAGAGTTGTATTCAATTATTTTAATTAAATGCATTTTCACCGGCAGTCTTAGTCTTTCGGAGCCTGTTGTATTTCAGAAAAATCCACTAATAGTAATTTATTTCAGTGTGTCAATTCAAACAAAGGAAGTTGTAAACTTTGTGTAGAATCCTGACCTGATGTTGTTTATTTTCTAAAGGAAAGAGGCCTTTACAGTGGAGCGAGGAGCAAGACCAGGAGTCAAAAAAGTCATGGTGATCGTCACAGATGGCGAGTCACATGACCACTACAATTTGAAAAATGTCACCGATCAGTGTGAACGAGATGGGATTGAGCGGTTCGCTGTTGCTGTAAGTATATTCATCCATGTATGATAAATAAATACTGTGGTGCATGGATTCAATGGTTTCAGTAGACAATATAGATTGCTGTTCATGTTTAACGTGGCACATGTAATTTTGTCTTTTGTAGGTCCTTGGTGACTATAATCGACAAAATAAAACCAATGAAGAAATAAAGAAGTTTATTGACGAAATCGAATTTATTGCTAGCGATCTCAAAAGCGATCATTTCTTCAATGTGTCGGATGAAGCAGCATTAGTGACCATCGTGGATGCCTTAGGAAGCAAGATCTTTGCCTTAGAGGGTAACGTACCTAATATAGTATGTTTAGTTAAGTATTAATCATACGGTTGGACATACGATTTTCACATTGCAGATGATAAATCAGGCAAAAAATCTCCTAGACTGGCATTAAAGGAATAGTTCACCCCCAAATGAAAATTTGCTGAGAATTTACCACACTCGGGCCATCCAAGATGTAGATGAGTTTGTTTCTTCATCAGAACAGATTTGGAGAAATGTAGCATTACATCATTTGCTCACCAAAGGATCCTCTGCAGTGAATGGGTGCCGTCAGAATGAGAGTCCAAACAGCTGATAAAAACATCACAATAATCCACAAGTAATCCACACCACTCCAGTCCATCAGTTAACTGAGAAGCTGTACATTTGTACAAAACAAATCTATCATTAAGACATTTTTTACTTTTTAACCATTTCTTCTGGCTAAAATACAAGTCTCGTCTGAATCTGGAGAGAAATATGTACAGATCAAGCACAAGTGAAAGTGACAAGTGAAAACAGTCAAATCAGTTCTAAACAAATATGTTGGTGGATTTTGATGTGAGAGGACAACAGGAGATGAACTCATTGGAGGAAGCGTTATTATGAATTATGAACTGGTATTTTGACTAAAAGCGTCTGAAGTTGAAAATGAAGATAAAAATGAAGATAAAAATCTAGACTAGAAGCACCGAAAGTTAAAACATCTTAATGATGGATTTGTTTCTTACAAACATGCAGCTTTTCACTTCACAAGACATCAACTGATGGACTGGAGTGGTGTGTATTACTTGTGGATTATTGTGATGTTTTTATCAGCTGTTTGGACTCTCATTCTGACGGCACCCATTCACTGCAGAGGATCCATTGCTGAGCAAGTGATGCAATGCTACATTTCTCCAAATCTGTTCTGATGAAGAAACAAACTCTCCCAGTTTCTTCCAAAAATACTACAGTTTTAACTATAACTATCTAGTTAGGCATATTTTCTTACGGCAGACAAGTGAATCATATTTAAAATGTTTAATGTCATGAAACCTGTCAAAAATGTAAAAATGGCCTTTGTCTAACAGCCACATCTGAGAAACACACCTCCTCATTTGAGATGGAAATGTCTCAGTCGGGATTCAGCGCTCACACGTCTAAAGTAAGTGTCCTGTCAGTCTGCTCTCTTGAGAATTGTAATTCAGATCAGATTCTGACCCCGTCCTGTTGTCTGATTTACCTCATCTTACATCCTGCTGCTGGTGAGTCGTGCATAACTACAGAGGAAACGTGCAAACGCTTCAGTGTTTGGTTATGAATCACAGAAGGAAGTACAATGAGTCTGTCAGCGTGTCACATCCTTTCTCAGTTTGACAGAGACAGCAGTAACACTAGCACATTTTTGAACACATTGCTGGGTAGTCTGTAAACACACTGGGCCTTAGTCATAAAATGCGAACGGAACAAATAAATTGTTTGTAAATTATAATCCAGTTATCACATCCTGTAAGAATGGCACAAATGGAGTTCGGGGTGTGGCACGTATGGAAGGAAAAAGTTCTGTCCCTCCATTAAGAGTCCATTCTTCCAAAACTTTGACACTTCAGAGTTCATCATACACTCTAAAAAATGCTGGGTTAAATATAACCCAGCTCAGGGTTAAAAAGGGACAAACCCAGCTGTTGGGTTGTTTTGACCCAGCGGTTGGGTTCAAAACAACCCAATAGTTGGGTTTGTCCCTTTTTAACCCTGCGCTGGGTTATATTTAACCCAGCATTTTTTAGAGTGTAATTGTAATATACGGTGGTGTGAAAAGGTTTTTGCCCCCTTCCTGTTTTTTTTATTTTTTGCATATTTGTCACACTTAAAAGATTCATGGTTTGGACAGTTTTTTTCCCTTAATAAATGAAAACATCATTTAAAAACTGCATTTTGTATTTACTTGCATTATCTTTGTGTAATATTAAAATTAGTTTGATGATCTGAATCTTTTAAGTGTGACAAATATGCAAAACATTTAAAAAACAGGAAGGGGGCAAAAACCTTTTCACACCACTGTATGTAATATAATGTATATCTTTCTGAAAGGCGGGTGTGATGCTGGGAGCCGTGGGCGCTTTCGATTGGAACGGCACTGTAGTGATGCAATCTGGGCAAGAGTTTGTCGTTCCCAAAAAAAACACCTTCCACGACCCTGCAGAGCAGAGATACGAAGGCATGGCGGGATACATAGGTGAGGACTACGAATGACATTTACATTGACTTTTATTTATAGTAATAGCAGAGAGTGGACAGAAAATGATGGATGGAATCAGCAAATATTATAAGTATCAGTTTTGAACTCACCTACATGAGTTTGTGTCCCATCCATTGCAACAACAGCTTTAGTAACTACCTATACCTCTAACTTCAAGCCTAGTTAAGGCCTAGAAGACTAGAAAGACAGTAAGCCAAGGCCTTGAATGATTATACTTCTTGGGCACCAAATAATCAACAATAAAAATGCTGCATATACATATCAGGAATTTTATTTCCTTCATAATATTCTCCTCGGAGAGACAAGGAAGCTCACAATAGAGGACAATATGGTGCTTGTAGTCTAAACACATTGTCACGATCTTCTGCCGTCCCATAAACACTCACAGTCCAAGTGCAAACACTCACACTCTCCACACATCCCCTTTTAAGGCTGTTGCTCCAGAAACAAAAGCAGTCAGTTGAAATGACTCTGCCTGATAAACGTGTTTGGAGAACAAGCTGCGCGGAAGCACTGTTTCACAAATGCTGATTTACGGAAAAAGATTTATAATCAGTCAAGCTGGTTTATTCTAGCATTATTCCCAACAATGTCTGTGTCTGCTGTAATGAAACCGTTTATGATTTGGGCCCCAGCTGTTTCGTATTAAGCGTGCAGACTGCTGTAAATGACTGTGAGGTTGGGTTAGTTGTGTGGTGGTAAAGGTTGCAGTGTGGTTTTGCTTGCAGGTTATGATGTGCAGTCGGCGCACACACCCCATGGGGTGCTGTACATCACAGGTGCACCACGCTTTAACCACAGCGGCCGGGTCACGGTGTACCGCTTCGACGGAGAAAATGTCACCATAACACAGACGCTGAAAGGAGAGCAGGTAGCTTCATAACCACAACCTCAAACAATTTCGGGTGGATCTCGCAAAAACAGATCATATTTCACCCCAAAAATCAAAAGAAACTATTTAAAGAATTACATTTTAAAAGTAAATATATATAAAATGAAATTTGTTCATGTTCAGATCACATTCCACACCAAATTCAAAATAAAATAAATTATATTAATTATTGTATATACATAAATTGTATATTTTAATATGAATAATGTACTTTAGAAATATATATTGTTTTGTATTATATTAATTTATTATTTTATTATATTATATTATTTATATTATTTTATATATATTTATTATATATTTTTGGAGAGATTAACTGAATGCTTTCTATTTTTGGATTTTCAGATTTAGCTTAAATGCTGAATGGCCCTTTGTTTAAACAAAAATCAAAATTGTTACATTAAACAAGAAAACATATAGAAAATGTATGGATATAGAATTAATATTCTGTGTGTGAATATTTATTTATATAATGAATATTTTATATATATATATATATATATAATGATTTTTAAAACCTGTTCAGATCACATTTCACCCCAAAATTATTATAATAATCTAATTAATAATCTAATTATTATAAAGACATTCTATTTTATAATTTAATTTATATAAAATGAATTTTAAGATGTTCAGACCACATTTTACGAGAAAATCAAAAGAGAAAAAAATCTGAAATTATAATTAGACATTATTTTCTATAAATAAATAAATGTGTATAAAATAAATTAAGAAACATTTGTATTGTTTATTTTTATTGTATTATATACAGTGGGGCAAAAAAGTATTTAGTCAGCCATCAATTGTGCAAGTTCTCCCACTTAAAAAGATGAGAGAGGCCTGTAATTTTCATCATAGGTATACCTCAACTATGAGAGACAAAATGAGGGGAAAAAATCCAGAAAATCACATTGTAGAAATTTTAAAGAATTAATTGGTAAATTCCTCGGGAAAATAAGTATTTGGTCACCTACAAACAAGCAAGATTTCTGGCTCTCACAGACCTGTAACTTCTTCTTTAAGAGGCTCCTCTGTCCTCCACTGGTTACCTGTATTAATGGCATCTGTTTGAACTCATTATCAGTATAAAAGATACCTGTCCACAACCTCAAACAGTCACACTCCAAACTCCACCATGGCCAAGACCAAAGAGCTGTCATAGGACACCAGAAACTAAATTGTAGACCTGCACCAGGCTGGGAAGACTGAATCCGCAATAGGTAAGCAGCTTGGTGTGAAGAAATCAACTGTGGGAGCAATTATGAGAAAATGGAAGACATACAAGACCACTGATAATCTCCCTCGATCTGGGGCTCCACGCAAGATCTCACCCCGTGGGGTCAAAATGATCACAAGAACTGGGAGCAAAAATCCCAGAACCACACGGGGGGACCTAGTGAATGACCTGCAGAGAGCTGGGACCAAAGTAACAAAGGCTACCATCAGTAACACACTGCGCTGCCAGGGACTCAAATCCTGCAGTGCCAGATGTGTCCCCCTGCTTAAGCCAGTACATGTCCAGGCCTGTCTGAAGTTTGCTAGAGAGCATTTGGATGATCCAGAAGAGGATTGGGAGAATGTCATATGGTCAGATGAAACCAAAATAGAACTTTTTGGTAAAAACTCAACTTGTCGTGTTTGGAGGAGAAAGAATGCTGAGTTGCATCCAAAGAACACCATACCTACTGTGCAGCATGGGGGTGGAAACATCATGCTTTGGGGCTGTTTTTCTGCAAAGGGACCAGGACGACTGATTCGTGTAATGAAAGAATGAATGGGGCCATGTATCGTGAGATTTTGAGTGAAAACCTCCTTCCATCAGCAAGGGCATTGAAGATGAAATGTGGCTGGGTCTTTCAGCATGACAATGATCCCAAACACACCGCCCGGGCAACGAAGGAGTGGCTTCGTAAGAAGCATTTCAAGGCTCTGGAGTGGCCTAGCCAGTCTCCAGATCTCAACCCCCTAGAAAATCTTTGGAGGGAGTTGAAAATCCGTGTTGCCCAGCGACAGCCCCAAAACATTACTGCTCTAGAGGAGATCTGCATGGAGGAATGGGCCAAAATACCAGCAACAGTGTGTGAAAACCTTGTGAAGACTTACAGAAAACGTTTGACCTCTGTCATTGCCAACAAAGGGTATATAACAAAGTATTGACATGAAATTTTGTTATTGACCAAATACTTATTTTCCACCATAATTTGCAAATAAATTCTTTAAAAATCCTACAATGTGATTTTCTGGATTTCTTTTTCTCATTTTGTCTCTCATAGTTGAGGTATACCTATGATGAAAATTACAGGCCTCTCTCATATTTTTAAGTGGGAGAACTTGCACAATTGGTGGCTGACTAAATACTTTTTTCCCCCACTGTATATATATATATATATGTGTGTGTGTGTGTATATATATACTTTTTTTTGCTTATTTTCATGACTATTAAGCATATTTCCTTCCCAAACCGTCACTACTGTAATGTTATTACTGTAATTTTTACTTTTGAATGTTTTTTCATTACCATTATTCTTAATAGATTTTCATTACTGCATGTTTCCATTGAAGTTTGATTTTCAGTGGTATTTATGAAGTGTGTCATGTTCTTCTTAGATTGGCTCCTATTTCGGCAGTGTTCTCCAGACGCATGACATCGACCGTGACAATTACACTGACATCCTTCTGGTCGGAGCTCCCATGTATATGGGTCCAGAGAGGGACGAACAAGGTCAAGTCTACGTCTACAGACTCAATGAGGTGTGTATGTGTCTTTAATCTGTGTGTGATATGCCTCATTCCACATACTGAAAACACGTGTAGGGGAGTGTAGTACCTCCATTCCACGCCGAGAGCATGTGGGAGCAGTAAATCTGAATCTGTCCTCAGGGAATGAGTGTGTGTTGTGTTGGTGTACAGCCTGAGATAAGTGCTCCCAGAGCAGGAGAAGGGTTGGAATGAGAATGCGGGTAGGAGCTTGGCATCATGGGAATGGAAATCTAATGAAACTGTAATATCTCCAGCAAAATACCAGCCTCTGTGGAGCACCTGCTTTCAACAGCTTCCAAATAGTGGCTTAAATGGAGCGATTTCCATCGGATTTGAGGTTTTGTCCGTTGGTCAGTGTTTCTTCATGAAGCATTTGCATTTACAAGGCAGAACTGTATTGATTGCACATATTGTTCATGTTTTTTCTCCATGATTTTCAAATCAAATCACAATCTCTGGACATAAATTCAACTCTTAAAACCTCTTAAAAGTCTTTGACCTTCTTACAGTGTTTCCCAAGAAGAATGTTCAAGAAATCAAACTGACAATTGTAAAATGTGCATATCAGTTGGTCTTTTTTTCTTGTTTATTTGGATATAATGATTTGTGATAAGTCTTTTCTTTCCTGTTTAACTCCATTGGTTTATCCACTTTTAAAACAGTTTCATCTTTTCTCTCATCTTTTCTCAAAAAAAGTCGCAAAAGTCTTTTTAGGGTTTTTGTCATTTTAAGGGTTTTTTTGGGCACCCAATCCCATGGTGTAACATGGTGTAAATTCAGTCATTTCAATAGAAAGCTTCACAGGGAGTTTGATTGACAGGTGATCTGACCAATAATAACACCAAATCTGCCGTTTTGTTCGACAAACAAAGCAGACAGGAGATTAGATTAACATCGGTGGACTCGAACTTGAAGATAGTGTGTATTGACGTCTTTCCGCATGCAGTTGAAACAAGATACCCTCTGATGTTCTTTCATGTTTATTTCGTGCTATAACTAGTAAAGAGGAAGAGATGATCAGTTCACGTGCTGCTTGAACTGAGGCTATAGCGATCTGTCACGACACATTAAAGAGCCACAAAACAGCACCAATTGTTTGAATATCTTACAAAATGACAAAATTTGTCTTAGTTTCATACCAGAAGTAACCTGCTCTGCGTGTTTTCAGTTTCCACTTTGCTCCGCGATGTATTTTTCACTGCGTGAGAACGTGTTGTGTAGTGTGAGAGCGGCATGTTTAGTCAGACATCGCAACAGTAACTAAAAGGGGCGAGTCTTTGCGAAGAGTCAATTGGGAGTTTCGCAAGAGGTGATTAAGTTCTCTGTGCGGAAGTTGGTCGAACAGATTTTTCATATTGATCAACAGTAAGCTTCTTTGTTTGAGCTCTGAGGCATAACTCATTTATTACATAGGAGAAAAGAGCCAGAGGCTTCCCCAGTTGCAGCAACTTTCATTTTTATTATTATTACTTTGCGCCAGTTGGAGGTGACAGTTTTGTTTTCTTAAAACGCATGGGATGGAAACGGTTTATTCGGATTTTCCGCATAACTTTGGACGGAAGCTAATGACTGGCTGGGTCCGAACCTACATTTTTTATCCATATCTTCATCCACTAGTCTGTAGGCCACACTGAGAGTTCCAGTCTTGTGTCTGGTTGTTACTCCTCAGGACGGGCTGTTTGAACACGAGATGACGCTGAAGCCGGTGAATCAGACCTGCTGTACAGCTCACTCCCAGAGCAACTGTAAGAGCATCAGTAAGAACGAGCCCTGCGGCGCACGCTTCGGTACCGCCATCGCTGCCGTCCCTGACCTCAACCTGGACGGCTTCAGTGACATAGTGATCGGATCACCTCTGGAGAATGACCACAGGGGGGCGGTGTATATTTACCACGGCTCTCAGAAATCAATAAAGGAGAAGTATGTACAGGTAAAGAATCTTCTAAGCATAGCATCAAGTGGTCTTCAAAGACCCATTGGTGGGGAGAAAGGATCCCTGTTTAAAACATGCAAACAGTAACATAAGCTGCATTTCCATTACCCTTCAAATTGCGCCAATTGAAATTGCAAATTGAAAATACGCCTAATGGAAACGCATCAATTTCGCAAAAATGCCCATATATCGCAAAAAAGTTTTTACGCTCGCATGAGGTGGTTTTTCAGGCAATTCGAAAAAGGAATATTTTGCAAAACTGCAATGGAAACTTTTTTTCGCATTAACAGGTCACATGGCATACGTAAAAAGTCATATGATCAGGGTTTGAAATGAACACCCGCCAAATGTGGGTAAAAATCAGCTGTGGCGGGTAACGCTCTCAAATCACTAGCCAATTTGGCGGGTTACTTTTCGTCAGTTATGTTCACTCATTAATTTCTTGGGGAAGTTCATGCAAGGCAAATTTGCGCAGGTTTAGCGCAAATACTGAACTCTTGAGACATCACATTATCGAGTATATTGCAAAAACTAAACAAACAGAGACACGCATACGCGACGTGATGAAGTCTGGTTAGACCAACACAGTATGCATTAAGAATGATCACATAATTCAAGATAAGGGGGCATATATATATTTATATCAATTCATATAGTTAATCAATATCACACGAATAGCTCCATTTTTTTCTTAAAAATCAGCATGGTTACAAATTTGATATTGATTTTATACAACAGTTCAATAAACAATAAGTTAATATCAAGCGACTTACGTTTTAGACACCATATTGGCTGTTTTTGCACTATTTCTGTGCTATTTCGCCAACAAAAAAACATTCCAAACACAGCCACAGCGCTGTTTTGCATCTCTGAGCAACATGATGTTGTTTCGTTCCTGAATGAATCAACCGTTTAAATGATTCGGTTCAATCGCAATGACTCGGTTATTAACAGTAACTTGCTGCCACCTACTGGCGGTTTTAATTTCACATTTAAAGTATCTTTTCATTTTTTTAATAATTTCAAATATCAGTATTCAACATTTCATCTTTAAATATCAAAACATTATTTATGCATTTGTAACTGCAGGTTAAAGCATTCCATGTCCCTCTAAGCTGCATTAACATGTGTAAATACATCTAAATGCCACTTCATATGCAACTTCTACAAAGATGAATTTTATTTATACTGATTTAATTTGTTTAGTAACAGCCTAAATGTATTATGATTATAATTGGCTGATTAAATGTAAGAATTTGACTCAAAATATGATGCACACTTTTTAGAAAAAAATGGCTTTATAAAGGTAAAAATGCCCATAAAAGGTACAAATCAATTTAAACTTATTGGAAAAGATGAATTTATATCACTGCTGTGAACTGATCACCACACAGAATAATGAAGAATAACAAAAACTTTAGGAGTCAGCTCTCCACGGTATAAGATATCAGCACAATAACACACTCAGCAAAATATTGTCTAATTATCTTTATCGATAAAATCCCAGAAAATATTGAGATATTATTTTTTGTCAATATCGCACACCCCTAGTACTGACACAAAATGATTTGCAACGGTCGCTTTGTCACGTCCAGTGTAGACAGCCTCAAGCTTTTGGTTTATTTCTGTATTTTTTCTCCTTTTTTTGGCTAGTAGAAGTTATGAATGGCTGGTTAACTTAAAAATTTAGTAGCCAAATTGGCTGGTGAGTGAAAAAGTTAATTTCAATCCCTGCATAT